GAGATGACATACTCGAATGAGTGTGAAATGAAAGTAGCGTCGTGTCAAGAAAAGCGTGACATTTACATCATGAGTGAAGGCGAATGCGGTAAGATTTAGTCAAACATTATTGGAGGAATGACTAGGAACTCACTGTGGTCCATTCCGTCTGTTGCATTGTACCGTTTTAATAAAAGTTGCAGCTTCTAATACAGATTTTACAATATATGTAGTGGTAACACTAATGTTGAATTTTTACCAGTTTTAGAATTATTAAGCAAACTGCTGTATTATTAGTTATTAAAAATATAATATAATTTAGTTTGTGTGTACAGCTGCTGTTTTGAATCATTTGTTATAATAAATTTTTTGTCACTTTCATAAAATTCAATATTGTGATATTGGTGTTTGTTCTGAAAATGACAAGGCTGTCTTTTGTTTTAAAAAATAATCGGGAAAGTTGTCGGAGATTGATTATTGTAATTTATAATTTGTTTCTCAGTACAATCTAAGATGTATAAATGATATCTATAATTTTTTTCAGAATCTGACGAAATTTCTGGTTCCGGATCTGGGGATATGCCAGACGAAGAGGACTCAATGGAAGTTGGTTCTGGTGCTATGGAATGTGACGAGACAACATGTCGTTATGGTGGTGCGTGTATCTACGATGTGGATGACTCAGTAACATGCTCTTGCGATATGGTATGCCCAGCATTGAGGTCACCTGTGTGCGGTTCCGACGGCATTACGTACAGCAATGACTGTGAGTTGAAGTTAGCGATGTGTCAGCAACAGAAATGGATTGGCATTGAAACATGTGAAGGTAAGGTTGTCCTCAAATTCTACTCTTTATTACTTCACAACTTTAAAATGACTTAATCTTTAAATTAAAGGATTTGTATAATGCTGTGTGATCTTTTCTCATTCTGTAAAAGAATAGCTTCTATTTCTTTGGAAATTATATTTCATGTTTGATATTGTGAATAGCATATTTATACAGTAATATTAATAAATAATATAGAGTTTATTAGTCAACATCAACAGATTTTCCAAAATTAGTCTGGACGCTGTTCAAAGTGCTTCTGCTAAAATGACTTTATTTCTGACTGTTATCTCTGTTATTATCAGATGTGGAGATGGAACCATGTGATGGAGAGCTTCCTCTCACAGACGCCGACACTGGGAAAGAGTACTTCTGTGGAGAGGGACCAAACCACAGTGAATGCCCAGCGGGAAGTTACTGCCACATACATCCTACAGGATCTTTCGCCAAATGTTGTAAAGGTAGGATAATTAATGGTATGGACTGGCAGGTGTGGTAGCGATGCCTGGTATCAACTAAATTATGTTTTATTAGATATTACATTTATCTAATGTTTAATATACTATAAATTTGCAGCTAGAAAGCATTTCTAATATAAATTTGTGTA